AGCTCAATAAAGAGAATGTTTGTCTGTACCCCGGGCTCTCCCCTCCTGCGCTTCCGCCTGCTTCTTTCCCCCTGCGCCCGCCTGCCTCCTTCCTAAGGGAGGAAGAAAAAAATGCTAAAAATCACATTTTGGGGGGGATTTGCTGCTGGTAGCACAGGCGGGAGGGGTTGAGCTAAGAATTGGGCGTAAATCTTGGGAAGGTGGTGTGTGGAAGCCCTTCCAGATGGCTCAGGTTGCTTCAGAATATCACCGGGAGCAAAAATCCCCCCAGGCAAGAAAAGATTTTTATTTCTTTTGGGAATGCAAAGATAGTCATCAGGGCGAGCCCTTCGTTTTGTGGCAACATCAGAAACCCCACAACATGTGAGTTCTTCCCCCTAAGACATAGAGGAAGGTTCTCCAAGGAAGCTGAGATTTTTCTCCCTGCTGCAGGAGCACTTTGGGGTTGGTTTGTTGTGTGTGTGTGGGGGTTTCCCCACAATTTGGGTTTTTCTCGCAGTCTGGGGGTTTTTTTGCATTCTGCTTCGTCCCAGGTCCCCCGGCTCCTGCGCGTGCCAGCGTCGGGCACCATGATCGCAGGTGGGACGCTCGAGAGCCATCTGCCCCTTGGTGCAGCTCTGGCACAGCCTGGGACCAGCCCCTTCCAAGCCCCAGGAACGCTTCCAAACCCCACGGGACCCCACGGCCCATCAGCAGACCTGGTGAAGGAGCCGCAGGGAAGGTTACCCAAACCGCCAGGCCCCCCCCACCTCCACTTGATGCCGGGCCACCCACCACACACCCCCAGCCATGCAAGGGAAGGCTGGTTAGAAAAGCTGCTCCTTCACGCAGCGGCATCTCCTGACCAACGTGGTTTCTTCAAGGTTCCTGCTGTTTACAGCAGTCCAGAAGCAGCTCGTGTTGGCACTGGGGAAGTCAATCAGGCTTCTCCTCGGATGACGTCCCTTTCCCGGGAAGCGGAGCCAGCCAGAAGGCCACCACTGGTCCATGTGCTCCTCTGCACAAACCAGCCTTTCATGCTGAAGTAGGTCACTTTGCAACGGTGCCGCAGGCGAGGATGCCATCCAGCGGCTGGCCAGGGCCCGCTCCCGCAGGAGCAAAGGGAAGAGCTGCCGGGAAAAGGTCAGGAAACCAACAAGAGGAGAGAAGTCCAGAAAGAATAGCCCAAGAGTCTCTGAAGCATCCCCACCCCTCCTTGGTTTAGTTCCAGGAGCCTCCCTCAACCCACGCGAGCCGGGCAGCCCCTTTACTCATCTCTGTTGCAGCCTGAGCAATCGCAGGATCTTGGGCAAGAGGGGTTTATGTAGGACAAGCTCACGGCATCTCCTCCTTCCCCACTGATGTGCTGCTGGGCAATGGACTGGACTCAACAGCAGGGTCCCTCAGCACACAGAGAGGGTTGGTGGCTGAGAAGAGCTGCTTTACCGGTACCTTTGCAGGCCAGCATGAACATAAGGAATCAGGCATTGATTTTTTTTTTTTTTTTGGTAGTGGTGGAACTTGGGGCGGCCAAGATGCTGCACATCTCACAGAGCACCAGAAGTAGGTGGAGGTGGTTCGTGCAGTGCTGCTGCCCAGCTAACCCCTGGGGAACCAGGGGCTCTTCACCTTCTGTGTTTGAGGAATGAAGAAATGAACCAGAAAAGAATGAGAAACCTGGAGAGGTTTCTCCAGGGCACAGCTCTCCCTCCCCGGGAAGGTGGGAGAGGACATGGCAAGGTGGTGGAGGTCTTGCAAGCCCAAAGCTAGGTAACAACCTTTCCTGGCTGCAGGCATCCCCTCTGATGAGATGAAGCTGAGGTCATTTTGCATCATCATGTACAAAATCTCCCAGAAATGCAGTGAGGAGGAGGAACTCAAGGAAACCCAGAGCCCCGAGAAGGATTTGTGCTGTTTTCTCCTCTCCCATCTGCACCTCCAGAGGTACGTCGACTCTGCTCCTTGAATAAAGACCCAAACTCTGTACTGTTCACACATACAATAGCTCTCCTCCCTTCTGTATGCTGCCAGCCAGTTCAAAACCCCACTTTATTTTTACAGTCCCTCGAGACACTGTTTCTCTTCCATTTCCATGTTCACAGCACAACTGAATTCCAGTAGCAATTACTGCTCTGCAACCCAAGGCTTGGGAAGATATTCCTAAACCTGGTGTTAGGCAGCTGTGCTCCCTTTCGTCATGATAGAAAGGGGGAACTGAAGGAGGACCAAAGTGCAGGTGCTACATTTACAAACCGGACACACGCCAGGAACATGAGAAGTCACACTACAGAAATTTCCAAACAATTTCCAACACTGACCAAGATTTTATTTTTGGTTTTCTTAACAATAAAAACAAAACAGCTGTGCTCTGAGCAAAACCAAAGATCTCAAAAAAATTCTTTGAGGTTTACTAATAGCATTGCAAGGTAAGGCTTCCCAAAGAGTTTTATTGAAATAAATTATTTTCACCTAAACATCAATGCAACTCCTCTCATTAAATTCACCTTCAAATGTTCTAAAAAACAACAGTAAAAAAAAGTTACCAACAATTCTAGATAATACTGGGCTCCTTCTAAAGGACAGTGATACCATAACTCACGCTTCAGAAGTTTAAAAATTAAGTCACTGCTATGTAAAATTCAACTATGCAAGCTAGCATCGGCGGCTCCAAGTGGATCTCGTGTCAAAAGTTCTTTAGAAAAATCAGAGGTTAGCAGGTTGGGCCGCAGCCAGCCTAAGGTCCAGCTGCCCCAATTCCTCCAGTCTTTCTGAATAAATTCACGGTGAAGTTGTGGGGTTAAAAAATGAAATAAAAAGCAAGACATCAGAGCTATCTCCACGAAGTCCCACCCCTGTTGCTCTGGAGTCCAGAACAGGCAGGTTTTTCTATTGTACTCTCTTGGCTTATGGTAACACTGAATTGCAGGGGCTGTAACCTTGCCTTATGCCCCCTCTTCACTTGATTCCCCTCAGTCTTTCACTTGTTTCTGGCCATAAAAGGCAAAGGAAAATAACGCAGCCCTGGGGAGTGAGCAGAGCCAGACGTCTGCCCAGTGCAGAAGAGCCCAGCAACGGTAAACAAACTATTTTATGCTGCTGGAATCAACATGAATCAGCGCTTCGCTGCACAATTCATGATTTCATTTCTTTCTGCGTTATGTAGCTAGACAACTTCCATCCAGTCTAAGAACTGACTTCCCAGCGATACTACCCCAGCCCTTCCAGCCGGCCTAAGTAACACCCTTCACTGTCGACACAAACAGGGACTGAAGAGTGGACGCCTGCTCATCTAACACAGGGTTTGCTGCAAATTTCTAAGCTTTCTTCCCTGTCGGAGTAACTCTCCCTGATCTCGAGCTGAACATGCCAGTGCCCTCCACGACCTGCACCCACAGCTGCTAATTCAGAACACATTTTCCCCAGCCTCTGCTGTGCAGTCAGCCTAATACCTCATGCTAGCTGCAGAAATCATGCCCGTGGTTTAGAAATTGCCTTTTGTTTGTGGAGGGGACCAACGTTACATAGAAAATATTACAAAAAAGGTTAATTTGTCAGCTGTCCAAACATTATTAGACCACATGCTTTATACAGCAGAGAGGCAGCCAGCTCACTCAGCAGCACAGCTAGCTGAACTCTGAAGAGACACTTTCCTGCTGGTATAGAAAGCGCAGGGGGGGTTCATATTTCGTTTATTTATTCAACATTGCTCATGAGGAGGAGGAAGGAGGGGAAATGAGCGCTAAGAGTTTTGCTGCATCTGAAGTCTCCGTTCGGCGGCAGCAGCGAGCGTCCTGCGACGCAGGGTGACGGGATCGGCAGATGCTCCCTCAGGCAGAGGAGAGGCCTTCTCTGTGGTCAACTCCTCATCAGAGGTTTTGTTTAAATAACGCCTGCAAGAGGAAACAGGAAAAGATGCGTGAGCAGAGCCCACCTCATTTTGGCTCTGGAAAATACTTCACTGGTACATCCACTGAAAGCAGGGATAGAAGTGTACACAAGCTACGCACTCAAAACCCCAAAGCCTGGATAGCCTACGATATGACTTCGCAGAGTTGGCAGAAGCTCTTAGTTTTTGTGCAAGATCCTTGTGCCCATGGGAGGGAGACAGTTCGAAAGGTGAGGGCGCTACTCTTAACTCAGAGCAATTCACCGAGATGGCGGGTCAGTCACTGAATCTCTCTGTCTGATATCCCACCACTTGCAAGACACTGGCAGTGTCCACCACAAGAAGTTACTCCCCGATGATGAGTAAGCCTTTGACAGAACAGGCACTAGGGCTGCAAAGTGTAAGGTAAAGCAAAAATACAAGGAAGCAGCTGCCAGAATTAACATCCCAATTATTCTAGGAGCAAGCCTCTTTATAGACAAACTCTTAAAAGAAAGGTATCATACCCCCAGTTATGAAGGCATTTCGGGGGGAGGGGGGCAGGGGGGGAGCATAGGTAGCCTGATAACACCAAAGGATGCGTTAAGTCAGCATAGTTTTTGCAGACCCTTTTGGTAGTCTCCCTGTGATACAAAAGAAGGGACAACATTTGTTACAAATGCTAAAGAGTTTTCTCTACACCACTAAGGCACTTTTCCTTCTCCTTTTAATCACCAACCGGATGCTAGTAAAGTTCACCAACATAACTGGAACGCATGTGAAAAAAGTTAAAAATGACACCTGTTACTAATTGGGCTAAAAGAAACAAAGTTTGTCATTCTCTCTTCAGTGGTCTTGACTTGCTGGTCATGAGCTCCTCTGGCATGCTTTAGGAAGCAGTCATCTGGCAAGTCTATGCTGCTTCGTGCTTAGGACGCTCGCTCTGTATTTAGAAAGAGTGGTGCCTGACTAATTGCAGCTGTAACAGCACATGCAGTGTTGGCTGACACCTATGCCAGGAGACAAGCTAAAGATGACTAGAGGACTCAACACGAGTAATGCGTTCTCACTTATTATAGGCTCAAACTAAAGCCCATTGAAGCTGGAGAAATCATCCTCTGATTTCAAAGAGCTTTCAAACAACCACTTAGGAAGCTGTGTACATGTTGGGACACATGACGTTATTTCAGACTTGGGTTTATCAGTGACAGTTGTCTTAAACAGCATCCTGAGCCTGCTGCTAGCAGATGTATACATTCCTCTTACTACTTTTTGCATCAACCCATGCTCTCTGGGTGGTCATAATCCATTTGAAACCCATTCTGGGGGACTATAACCGAGTGGCCAGGCTGGAGCGTTAGGAAGAAACATACTTTCGAGCTTGCTGCAACAAGTCCTCCTTCCGCTGAACCAACATACGCTGCCTTTCATCAGCTGACTTTGAAAAGCGACTTCCCCTGGCCTCAAAATCTTCTGCTTCACTAGGCTCTGCTTCCATTTCACTGAATTCCACTACTTCTTCCAGTCTTGAATTGAGTTCAAGTGGCACTCTTTCGGTCTACGAGGAAAGGAAAAAAGTCGTTAAGTCTTTGCAAAATTTGCTAACAGGGCTTCTTTGCATCAAATCAACAACCTACAAAGAACTGTCATTTTCTGAGGCATTAGAAGAAACTAGACTCTCACCTGCTGTACCCAGTTCCCTTGGGCTCCTTTGAAAACCCCAGCCAAAATATAGAGCAGAGCTATTTCAAAACATGTTCAAAAAGCCTGTATTCTATAACACTGTATCTTTTATGCCACGTTTGAAAGTAATCTCAAACATTAATTACTCATAATTAATGCTCTATGAAAATGGGGCATTTGAAACAGTCAGATTTTGCAGCTGACTTGACAAGCAATGCAACAGTAAAGAGTTTAAAAAGCTGAAATCCATATACTGAGGAAAGAGTAGCAAATGTATTTGCAAAAAGGACACGTGCTTAAGAAGGGAATTTATGAGGCTTCGGTTCACCGGGTTCTGCAGCACTCAAATTATCATGTATTCGGGCTGCTGGAGCAAGGCTGGCAACTGTCCCAAGCACAGTGTGTCAATAAAAGAAACTGGCAGCCCCGCACAAAGCACCTCTTCACCCTTGACAGCTGGCCGACAACACTAACGTGAAAATTGAGCTGATGAATGATGACGCTGGTGAACTAGCATAGGTGAAACAGCATATCCTGATCACATCCTGTCATATACGATCAGATCAGCTCTGTGATGGAAAAGCAAGATGTTACTAAGGGTGGTAGCATCAAGAAACAAATCACCTCAATGAATGGCTTAAGGGTTTAGCCATCATTCGGTATCCCAGAGGATTACTCAAACAAGTAGGATGCATTAGAGAGGTATTAGCCAAGTTAGCTCCTACCGCCTAGTTTTGGGCCTTTGGTATACCCACCGCAGGAGCCTCGACAGCCGGTGACGCAGACACCGCGGGGGACTGCTGCCCAAGTCCCAACAGCCTGGACTCAGCAGCATTACAGCCTGCAATGCACAGGTTTCGGCAGCTGGTGTGCAAAACAAGCTGTCATTCCAAAGCCCTAGAGATGTACCGGTAACACCATCTCCCCGACGCAACGCCTTCACAGAGCGAAAACCAAGACAAATGTCGCTTCCCGTCAACTAGGTGAACCAAGCAGGAATGCCAGCACACAAGCCAGAGCAGTACAAACACTGTGACCTCAAACACAAATACATCTTTAGCCTATTTCAGCAAAACCCCAAAATTCCAGCATGCTGGGGAAGGGCTCCCCGTATCACGCACACTAATGCATTAGGATAACACGATGGGGTGCTGTAGGACTGCCTCAAAGCAACACCACATCCAAGAGGAGGAAGTGAGAGCTCCACAGAATGATCTCACAGATTTTACCCAGGGCCAAGACGACCTCACCAGACCCAGAACAACAGGTATGGAGCAACCCAACTGCTGCTTCCCATTACCACACAGGTGGACAAAGAAAAGGGAAGCTCTGCTGGGTAAAGCAGTGAGGAGGGCATTCATTATGGTTGATGTTCAGACAAGATACCTTTTTTTTTTCCCCCTGGGCCATCAGAAGATGCAAGCTAGCTCACCTAAGCTTTGTTTCTCGTAACGTTAGAGAGATGCAAAAATCAATACCCAGAGTCTGTTCTATTTGAACACAAAAGTGGTTGCTGAGGAGGTTTTACAGTCAAAAATATCAAAACTAATTGCAGTAAAGGTTATGACAAGCCTCAGTATGACAGCAGATCTCAGATGCAGAAACCCATACGCTACAGAAACTACTCCTCCTTCAGGCTGCAAGAGAAAAAGAGAGAGTTTCATGAAAGCCATGGGATGCCTCAGAAGCGTCTCTAGAGTCACCAAGTATTTAAGCAATGACAATAAACTGGATTGTCAAGGGGGGGGCGGCAAGAGCTGCACCAGGTAAGCTTCAGTTTATGCCAGCAGCTTACTAGTTAGGTCTGAGCAGTCCTACCCATCTCCACCCAGGATTACAGAAACAGATAAACAAACACACAAAAAATTTTAAAGGATAATCTTTAAATACATTTTAGCACATGAAAATATAAGATTGCAGAAAGTAGCTATAGCTGCTCTGGGATCTGTTCTTTATAGGGAGTAACAGCAGAGTCAGAAAAGGGGGGAGGGAGGGCAAATGTGATAGGGATGGAGAATGAGCATGTAAAGCATTATGCACAATGCTGGAAGCATTAGCATTTCAATGCACAACTGGAGAAAAGTATGTGCACAGCATCTTGCTAAGGGTACAGGCCAGGACTGTTAGAAGCAGTCAATGTTTAGAGCATTATCTCACAAACCTTTAACATGATTTATGCCATGATGGTGGTCAGAGATGTCTCTAAACTAACCTTACATTATGTCAGCACTGACACCCCAAAACCATTGTATCTAGTGTATGGACGGTACGGATGGGCTGGGGTGGGGTGGGGGGGGGGGGGGGAATCAGTCATTATCTCTATCTTAAGATCTTTGAATTCTAGATAGAATTAAGTTAGAATATGACGTATGGCACAGAGGAAAACCTATGCTACGCATGAAGAATGGTGCTTTTATTTGAGCACAGTAGCTCCCCTAAGAAATGTTATTGCCAACAAGCAGAACTCCAATGGGTCTACCACTTGCTGTTGGAGATCTATAAAGATTCTCAGTGGGTGTGTTGATTTAAAAAAAGAGAAGAAAAGAAATGGAAAGCTTGTAAAACTTACTCCAAGGCTGCAGCACAAAGCAACTAGAGCTGCCAGTCTTTCTCAGGGACCACATCATAAAGTGTGAAGTAATATCTATCCATTATTTGGAAATTCAAGTCTCACCCAGAGGAGATGATGATGGCTGATGATGTCCCTTCCCACTTGCATTTAAAAAGCTTCTTAAAAATCAAGCACAACCCACTGAAGTAGCTTGTTTGCTGCTAGACCTTTCCACACAGACAAGAGTTTGACTGACTACAGCAACATATTCTTCTGGCAAGAAGAAAGAGAACATCTATAATATGCCATGTACTCAGTTAAAAACTGAAATAAAAATCAAAGAGACACAAAAGTCACAGGAGTTTCCTGGAGGAAGGATGCCCCTAGGCTCCCAGGTCTTCTCTCCACAACAGAAACAGTATTAATAGCAAGGAGGTAAGCAAGCTTGGCTCCTAGGTGGATCTCTGTGGCTATGTAACAAGGGTGATCAGCTTGTCTGAAGCCAGCCAAAGTTAACAGTAAACGCACAAAGCATTTACGAGGCAGGAGGAGGACAGCAGCAACTGGAGCTTCCTCAACACTGCCCAGCAGCAAGCTTCTCTTAGTGCATGGCAGTCTCAGTCTCCTACTTCAGCCTTTGCCTTTGAATCCCATTTAGCATAGTAAATACCCATCCAGGAAAACCTGCACGGAGGCCATCAGTTCATCCCACACACGCAGCCACCAGCAGGCTCACTCAGCTGCGGGAAATTTGCAACTGTTCACATATCTCCAGGCTATCACTGTGCTATTCTACAAAACAAAACTACATTCTCCATCCAAACCACCATTTGCTCCAATACATCAATTGAGCAAAGTGCTTGACTGTAATTCAAAGCAAGAATACATCACTATTAGAAAGCACCTGCTCAATGACATGACGTATGAACACCACTCCCAGGTTTTTCAAGTTCTGCAGAAGGAAGGACAAAGATACAGGTAGCACCAAGCAGGAGAAGGAAGGTGAACAGCAACGCAGTCATTCAAAGCGGGATTTGAAGCCGGTACCAAGCTAAGGAAAACTATTTAGACACCATTTGTAGAAACAGAGGTTTTACGCATAAAGAACAGGGAAAATGCCAGCAAAACCTTCAAGTTAACCCAAAAAGTTACTGAAGAGTTGCTAGACCCAGGTCAAGATCTTCATTCCCGCAGTTCTGCGCCTCCTACCCCAGGCTCTTATCAAAAACCTGTACCAATCCCCACCACCTCTTCTTCAGCCTCAACTGCAGTATCAAACCAAATCAAAGTTTCTTCTGTCTTGCAACCTGCTAATGAGGGAACTGCCACAGTTCAGTTTCAGGTGAGTAACAGGTTGGCTATTCACGTTATTAAAGGGCTGCAGAGGCAGAAGGTCACACACCTCACAAATTCACTCTCTTTCTAAGCCAGTGCAAAGGGAGGTTTATAAAACAGAAACCTTCACGATTTTGCTACTACAGTCAGGGAAAACAAAAGTGGAATGAGACCTTATTCTACTCACAGGCTTATTTTTTTTTCTTCCTGCCACGTTTTAGCTAGCACATGGTGCTTAATAAAGCCCTTAGTGAAGAACAGCAAAAACCATTATTGTGCTTTATATGTAAAAGGGCTATTATGTCTTGGTCCCGTTTGTATCCCACTCCATTCACACCAAGCTCTCCATGTCTCCAAGTGCTTCCTCCAGAACACAAAAGAATTCTTATACCCAGAAGAGAAATACTATTCGTTTTAAGGGAAGTGTCTGGAGACTTACAGAATGGGAATGGGAAGAGGAAGGGAAAGAGCAAAGCATCCTGCTCTTCATATTCCACAGATGGGCATGAGCCTGACCAGATGGGAACAGAGACATGATCTTTTTCTGGTTTTTGTATCACTTGAGAGAACTCTCCTTCAAGGAGGAAAAAGAAAAGCACACAGAATTCTTTACAGGAGCACCATGCTGAAGTCTTACTTCAGTTGCCTGACAGTGTTAGTTCTGCTGCAAAATGCAAGGAAGGGCTGCCACCAATCTGACCTGGTACAGAACCAAATGCACTTATGTTTCCATGCAGCTTCTAATTGTGCTTTTTGCCCATTTTTATGCCAAATTACCTGGGTGACAGTTTCAGTATCCTCCTGATCAGTACTGTGCCGTTCCACAGAACTGTTCAATGCAGGTCTAATACTATCTGCACGCTGAAATGCAAACATCATGGGTTTAATACAGTGTGTGAAATGGCAAAACAAAAACAAGATCTGTGAACACATTCACTCTGCCCTCTGCAACGTCATGTGTTATGCTCAATTTAGAAACAGATAAGTTAGCAGTAAACAGAATGCACTGTGTTGAAAGAGAATTCTCTCTGCTTCCCCACACGCAGACTCCAGATAACAGAACTATCTGATGTGCACAGAACCAGAATTCAATATTCTTATTAGTGGAAACATTGTCCCCAGACTGCTTTACTGAAATCTGCTATCACTAATTAAGAACAAGACATCATTTTGTCGACTACTTTCTTTGCAGAAAACCTTCCTGAGTGGTACAATTCAATTATCTGTCAGCAGAGAAATCAACTGGAAATGTTCTAAAGGCTCTGCACAAGAGCAACCAAGAAGAGCTGCTTTAACTGAGCAAATATTTGTCTCTAGTCTAGCTAGGACATTTTCAATATATTTTGGTACATAACCAAATATACTGCATTTACAGAGATTTAAACAAAGAAAAAAAAATCCTGAGGTTTTTTTTACTAGAATTTGGCACTATATAATGTGTTTGAGACTGTACAGGCAAGCACTTCATGCTGCAGTCCAATCACATCAGTAAGGGGCAAGCTACAGGGCATGGGTGATAGACTCCGACTTTCCTTCATAAAGAAAATACCCTGTATTACAAACACAGATTGCTAAAGCACACCTGAGACCCAACCTAATACATTAAAAGGCCTTCTTCTAAGGGCCATAGCAAGGAACAGATGCGTATACCTCAATCACACACCACTGTGAGACATTCCAATTGAGTCAGATGTTGCAACATGGAGATATGACATACACTAGACTGCCAAAACTGGTTTGGCGCTTCCGACTGCAACATCTTCATATAGCTAAAATCTGAAGAGTAACATTGCATTAAGATAAGTAGGATTCACCAGTACTTCAACTTACCTCATTCCCCTCACTCATTATTAACAGGCTCAGTTCTGTGCTAAGAAAGAAATTCAGGCATTTTAGGTCCATGGTCTTATGACTTACCTGTGTGGGGAAAGGTACCTGGATGCGCCCTTCTAGGATGTTGTCAGTGGTGATCTCTACGGAACGGGTTAGCTGCAGATCCTGTAGAACTAAATGATAGGGAACTTGAGGGAACATCTCCTGAATCTGATGGGCCTGGAGAACACAAGGTTTATATGGTCAGTATCAGCAGTACATAAAAGTTAGCTGGTAAGTATCTCAACAGAAAGAGATAAAAAAAATGAACAGCTCAAAGATGGTGTTTATGATATGATAACCCACACGCAGAGAGAAAAACAAGAGAAAGAAAACCCATACTGGCATTGACTTACAGGGCAATACTTTGACTCCACTGAAGCCAACAGCAAAACTGCAACTCCTATGGAGACACCACATGGTCCTGAAAATTTAGGTTCCTGAACAGTGCTTGTAGATGCACAAAGGCTTCAAAAGCTTCCCAACCCCCTTTTTATAACAGCCTTTTTAGTAAAGATCTATACAAAATTCACGAGTGACTGAAAGTTAGATCAACACTGGGGAAAAAAAAAATTTTTCTTTGTACCAGACAGGTTCCAAAATGGTACTGGTAAGGACAAGCGCAATAAGTTTTAATAACCTACTCTCTCCAGCCACCCTGCCTACAAACCAGTTTAATAGGGTCTGAAAGCTCAAGTAAATTAAACTGAGTTGTCAGGGAACTGTTATTACTGAATTTCAAGTTACTTAAATAGTATCAAAATTAAATAGATAAAAGTAAGAGGGCAGACAAATAATAACGCTTTTAGAGTCCAACAGCTAGATGTCATTAAATATTAAAATCTATATTTCAACTAATGCTGAAAGTTACAGGGTGGGGGGGGAGGAATGAGAACAACAACAAGAAGAAGGGTGGAAGGAGTTTTGAGAGCAAAGCAAAAACTACGCACCAGCTGACAGTGAGTTCACACACAAGTAACCACAGCAAACCTAACTCTCCATTCTACTAACCTGTGACCAAAACAACTGATTTAGTATTTCAGCCTCTGGCCCTTCCCTCAAAATACTTCCCTATGTTTTTATCAGTAACACAAAGGAGAATTTCACTTATTTTCTATTAAAAACGTGTAACACTTTAATAGTTTGCTAACCTGGGCCTTTCCATTAAAGTAGGCATTTTAACAGAAGTTGCTACTATACTTTCAATAATACACACTGCTAAAAAAATCATTACTCATCCTTAACAAAAGCCCGTTTGTGTCACTGTGTCCAGTAAAAAAAAACTAAACTGACCTTAGATGGAGAGTTCCTACATAGTTAACTAGTAAATCATCTGCCAACACCTTACCACTCCCTGCCCACCCTGCCTGAAACCCCCCAAAATTGTGGCCTTATCCTGTTGAGGCTTAAACAGTAGTGAAGGCTATGGGAGAGATCTCACATTCAGAAAAATCTCATCACTTTCATGAGATACCTCACTGAATAAACATTTATTAACATACTATAGCACACAGTAGCTTTAAGAACTCAAAGGAAACAGCACTTCTCAAACTAAATGAATTAAGTGTGTTTCATGAGGCCATAGCCTTCTCTTTTTGTACTACATTAGAGTGTTTATGGATGAAATCAACAAACCTGGGATTTCATCCTCAACACTCCTATCATCATAATGAATCAGCAAGAGTTGACTGTGCTACAGAGAGCCCCATCTCACACTGACAAGACACTCAAACAGAAAGAGCTACCTTGGAGCTTCGTGCTATTAAAAATAAATAGTAAAAAAATCAAAAGCTATAGAATGGGTTTGATTGGTTACCACTTGACCAACAGCTAAATTCTCTGGTTAGCTCTCTCAACAGCTAAAATTCTCTGGTTACAGACTCACACCCTTGGCTACTGCAAAGTTGTGAGTGAAGATTGGAAGACTGGAAAAAAGCTAAAGAAGTTGCACTAAGCAAGCTGAGAAAAAGTCTGCCTATCTACACAGAAAGAACATGTAATTTTTCTCCCTCATTTACCTGCCTCCAGACCTGTTCTTTTATGTTCGCACATTTGAACCAACATATAGCCCTAACTTCACTAAAATAAAGCTTCTCTCAGTCAAAAAAACAGCTTTCATGTAGCATCTGAACACTGTTTTGACTTCCTTCCCCCTTATGTTCTCCATCTACATGTACCTCTTTTCCACCCACAACACAAATAGGAAGGCTGAGGTGCAAACTATTAAAGTAGTCTTACCATAGCATTAAGCTGGGAGTTGCTGGCTTGTGTGATACCGAGGATGTTTGTAGTATGCATCACTTCTACTGAAAAACTGGGCAGCCAGCTGGCAATTCGAGAGCCTAAGAATAAGAAATCACCAAGAAAGTCAGGCAAGAATATGAGGTTCTCAGCAGGTGAAGTACTACATGTATTTAATATAAGTCTTCATATTTCCACAAGGTACATATGGGGAGTTCTGCAGTACAATCCATCTCTAAGGTCTCCCAAACATGGAGATGGTTGGAGTAAATCAGTAACTGCCAATACTCTCTTCAAACACACTGTCACCGTGGCTTAAGAATCTGAGAGCCAGAAAAGGATCAAGAAAACAACACATCCTTGTTTTCTTGATCTAGTGTTCCCATTACAGGGAAAATTAAAAAAATCCAGAGCCAAATTCAGTCTGGAATACATGAATAATTCCAGCAATTCTACTAAAAACAGGCCAACTTCTAAACATGCTGCATCTGGTCCCAAAATGGGTCAGCTATATGTGGCTGATATCACTGAGAAAATACTACTACAAAGGGACACAGAGTAACCGAACAAAGTGACTGCTGCAATTGTGTGCTTAGGCTCAACAGAGTAGGGCACATGGCTGGCTCCCTCCTCCTTCTGCTTTTCCATTTAAATAAACACAGGTTTGCTCTATGCCACTTCTCCTCCTGTCTCCACAGTAATTTTGCAGGTCTCCAAGCCACAGGAGAGCACTGAGGAGGAAAGCTACCAAAAAAGAGAGCGGTATTCTAAATATAAATGTCCTTTGGAGACCTAAAGCACCCCAAAATTGGGAGCCATGCAAGAAGCTGTCAGCCAGTCTCAGCGTACCCAGAAATGCCCGACCCTTCTGTGCCCATTATTCTCCTCCCACAATCTCCAAAGATTGCAACATCAGCACAGATGAAGAACTCTCCTGGTTTCGGCTGGGATAGAGTTAATTTTCTTCCTAGTAGCAGGCATAGTGCTGTGTTTTGGATTTAGTAGGAGAAGAATGCTGATAACACACTGATGGTTTAGTTGTTGCTAAGTACTGCTTACACCAGTCAAGGACTTTTCAGCTTCCCATGCTCTGCCAGGTGCACAAGAAACTGGGAGGGAGCATAGCCAAGACAGTTGATCCAAACTGACCAAAGGGCTATTCCATGTCATGACATCATGCTCAGTATATAAACTGGGGGGAGTTGGCTGGGGGGCAGCGGTTGCTGCTCCGGGACTGGCTGGGCATCGGTCTGCGGGTGGTGAATGGTTGTATCACTTGGGTTTTTTTTTTCCTGGGTTTTGTTTCTCTCTCTCGTCGTTCTCCTTTTCATTACAGTTTTTATTACTACTATTATTATTATTTTATTTCAATTATTAAATTGTTCTTCTATCAACCCATGAGTTTTCTTACTTTTGCCCTTCTGATGCTCTCCCCCATCCCACCGGGGCGGGGGGAGGGTGCGTGAGCAGCTGTGTGGTGCTTGGTTGCCGACAGGGGCTAAACCACCACAAGAACAGGTCACTACCTAAGTTTGCAGCATCTCAGCTACATCATGGGAACTCCACAAGGACAGAACCCAAAGCTGAGTATTTGCACTAGTGTAACCTACTGAGAAGCAGCAAGACTGCCATCAAAAACCTGAAAAACCGTGGAAGACAAGCACACACCAATACCAAAACTATAAAAAAAAAAAAAATCTGGAAGATAAGCAACAGAAATTGTTTCTTTCAGAACAAGTTTGTCTGCACACACAGAACTCATCATGGTCTGAAATCACATCTGCTTTGGGAGCACTTATAACGCACCACTGAAAAAAAAAAAAAAAACCCACGTAAAATTGTTCCAGTTACATAATTCCTTCTAAGAATGAGCTTCTGCAGACTTCTGCACCTAACCAAGCATTGCAAGTTTCTTGCAACTTGAGTAGCAAATAGACTTCTGACAACCTCACATTAGCTAGGGACAGGAGAAAGATCAACTTTTAGACTGCACCACAGGTTTTTTTTCCTCTTTGACTGTCACTGATTACCCAGCCACCTGGTAACAAAATAAGACACGTGAATTTGCCATTCTGTTGGTCAACACGGCACACAATGAATAAATGCCAGCATTAAAGCTACTAACCACAACAAATCAAGGAAAAGAGAGCACTTGTACAAAATCTTTCAAGAAATCTCTGTAGCTCTGGACAACCTCAGAGACACTTCTCAGCTCTTTCAAAAGAACTGTAAGAAACATATACGTGTTTGACAAATGCAAGTAGAGGTACAGTTTAGATTTCAATTGGAACATGGACTGAATTCCCTTCTACAGAAGGCTATTCCCTTCGTTTATTTGGGCAACAGCATCAGATGTCAAATCCACTCAGCTCACCGTCAAAGTGGAAGAAGTGATTGTGCTGGTTCAAGCGTGGTCTGCCTTCTGCTACTGCCACGGGGACCAGGTTCTCATCCAGATTTTCCCTTTGGTGATCCTCCCTCACATGATGGCTGTCAGTGATATTAAGAGACATTCTGCAGGTGGGGCAAGATGTGTCTTGTTCCAGCCAGGACCGCAGGCATGAGCTGACAGGAAAACAGTAATATTATGGTGAGTTTGCAGCATTTTTCCAGACATCAGTATCACAAGTACATCAAGCAGCTGTAGCATATTCTGTACAGAATATCAACAAATGCACATGGACTGCTCAGAGACAGTTTGTGAGGTATGCTTGATGAGCTCCTGATGACCCTGGCACAGGGTTCTTATTTCAGCTGAAAATACTCAAATGTTCACTTTTTATAAACAAGCATGCAGATTTATCACAAACTTAAAACACTCTCCAAGTTTGTTGTCCCTCTAACTCAGAACAAGCAAGTTTTGCCTGGAAGGGGAAACAAAGCATTTCTCTTCTCTCACCATCCCCAACTGAAAAAGGACAAAAAACAACTGGACAAATATTTAAAATAAGCTGACACATTTTCATAGCAGTTCTGCCGGTGTGATGTGGCAATGGCACCTCCAAAGGCTTCAAGTATCTTTTCAAAAAATCAATACCCAAATCACCATCAAAGTGAGCACCACTCTGGGAACTCGCTAAACAGATTTATTAATACTAACCAGTGCTGTGCCATTACAGTATTTACTTAATTCTGAACATTTGCTGTCTTGCAGAAAGTGAGAAGTGTTTGAAATGCAGGTTTAAACACTCAGAGCTGTGCCTACTTTTTGATTCAGACTGATACCCAATTGCGGTATTTGTTGGCATGTTAAACCTAATTTTCAGTATAGGAGAATTGAATTTCACAGAACTGAACACATCTCAATACTACAAAATGCACTTTACACTTGCAGCGTGGGTTTTTTTGCAGCAGAAGCTCTCAAAACACTTTAGAAAGGTAGAGACATACAAAAAAGTCAAATAAACCTGCTTCCCAAATTGTGTATTTGCAAATGGAGTAAAAGCACAGATCACAGGTTTGGGTTGACAAAGCAAGGAAAAAGTCCTAATTGCAGGATTATAGCAAAGTCAAGGATACAAGCACTCTGCACAATTCCTGAAGCTGTAGTGTATAGACATATTGCCAAAATGTTTTCCGTCATATTTAAATGGAGGGATACGCAGTGTTCAGAAATTACAGTGATGGGTTTCCCAAAAACAACCAAAGCACTAGAATAAAAATCTACCATCTTCCACCACCTTGGTCATCAGCACAGCCAGCATGTTAGCACTGCCAATGCTGCCCAACTTCATCTCCATTACTACAGCAAAACCACCCTGCACATAGCAAGCTCAAACCTCTGCTACAGTTGTACTCAGAAGGTCACTTGTGAAACACCTGGAGTGACACACGCTACCACCACGCTGCTGCTCCTCAATGGCTCAACCACTTTGATGCTAGAATGGACACAAACCCTCTTCAGCCTGCATCAGCACCAAGCCCTAAAAGCTTGCAGTAAGCCAGCTGTGGTTATACCCATTTTGTACCACACAGGCAAAAGGGCTCAGCCACCTACAACACCTCAGTAGAAGGATGACTAACAACAGGTCAAGGTCAGCAACATTTCAGAGCAACAACTCTTTTGAAATTGACTGCTTCCTAAAAGATAAAGGAGAGAGTTTCAGCAGAGCCTGAAAGATTCAGACACCCACTCCAATTAAACTTCCTTAATATTTAGGCACAGAAGGAACCTCAGCAATGCGAATCTTCCCTGCCATCTTCTCTTCTACTCCAAATAAATGGCTATGAAAAAAGATCCCATGTAATTGAGAATGGACACAATGTTTAGCCTGTTGGCAAAATCACCAGGCTTTTATGAGGAGAGAAACCATTCTTAGGTTGTAAATAGGATTATTAATTACATCTGGTTTTACATGCAAGCTTAAGTCACCCACTGCAACATGTTCCCACCCTAAATGCACCAAGGAGGTAAGTGTAACTTAGCTTCAGAAAAAAATACAAAAGGATCCTTTTAGAGACAGAGAAAACAACTTTCTGAAGAGAAGACCTTGGGCTTCAAGTGCTCAGTAGGTGATTAAATATTCATACCCTTCAGTAGCATTGGAAGAGGACTTGCTGCTACGGAGGCACATTATCTCATTAGAGACTTCTTGGAACACAGATAAATATTTATGGCAAGGTTTGTCATAAATGACAACAAATTAGCACACAAATTATAACCTCTGGTTTGGCAGTTACCAGAAAAGTAAAAAGCTGTTTGCAGAAAGTAACTTGCTCATAAGACACCACAGGGACAATTTAACTGACCATGCATGTTAATCACATGCATTTCAGAAATTCCTGATTCAATCCCCATATCTCCTTTCATTTTCAAGCATAAGCATGAAACTGTAAGCACTGCTACAAAACATTTAAGAAAAGGTGCATCTAACTCAGCACGCTGTCTCCACAAGCATCTGCTACTATTCACTGAGTGGGTGTAAGAAACAGTATATAGAGATCCTTTGGCCAAGAGCCTCCCAGTTCCAATCACCAGCTGCTTAGGGACCTCTTCAGCTAATTTGGTTAACCTCTTTTACAGCCCTGATGGACTCATTGTCCCCATGAAATCATATAATCAGACCTGGCCTCCACAACTGCCTTGGGGAGACTCATCACCATGCAAGGATGCACTACATAAAAACATTGCCCATTTCCTCTTTAAAGCTCGTATCTGAAAGGTACTTAAGGATCTAACCCCAATTTTTCTTCCTCACCTGAAAATCAACACACCCTCATGGAAGAGGTGATGCATAGAATAAAGCAAGGGGGAAGAGACTGTGCTTTACCAAGCAGTTACATAGCAAGGTAGAGTACAGACTTGCAATTGAGATACCATAACTTAACACTATCTATCCATTAGTTGACAAGAGGCATACTCTCAGTTTGGGGGGAAAAAGGAAAGAACCAGGTAAAACAACTCAAATATGAAAATGACTGAAGTGAACATTAACTTATACTTTGTTATTACAGGCAGACCAAGATGACCCAGGCAGTAAGCAATCATAGCTTTGCTGTGACAAGTTCACTACTTGTCATTCTGCTGTAACTTCCAGACATGCTCATTTATCCCTTCCTTTCTACAGTCAGGTGCGTGCTCTCCAGCCCCAGAAACGTACTTGTGGAAGAGATGGCCGCAAGGGAGTTTACGTGCAGACTGCATGGAGTCCCAGCAAATGGCACAGTCATCATTATTGACTGCTAGCTCCTCTGGTGTTGCAACTGCAAACCTACAAGGAAGAAAGAGACAGAAGTAACAACTGCACCAGCTCAGCATGGCCTCCTGTCTAGAGAATCCCACACTGAGGAAATCTTATCCTCCATGTTAACTTTTCCTTAGGAGAGCTGTGCCAGCAGGTTTGCTACTTTTTCCATGACTCAAATTCACACTGCAAAGGAAGACACACACACACACGCGTCCCTCCCATGCCTTCTTACAGGCACGTTTCTTTGGCACATCTCTGCATCCGTCCTAGGTTCAAAAAGCTTTGACTTAGTATCTTCCAAAAAGTATGATCATTAGGTTGAGGACCTCAAATTATAACCTGTATGGATTTGGCTTATGTCATTTTTCTAAATGAGTTTTAATAGCTGTACCCATTAAGGTGTCTTCTTGGGATCATAAGCATTTATGGCCTGACTAATTTTGGCCTCAAGATTTTGCCAACCCCCATTTGTCTTTGATTTTTTATTTTTTTGAACTACAGCACCATGCAAGCAGCTACTACATAGTACCCAAACACAGACAATGTAGAGATGAGTGGTATAACAACATTTCACAGTACTACTGGTGTGGAATATACCTGAAAATCAACTACACAAATGCAGAGAGCTTGCTGCCATTGGCAGCTTCAGGAGGAAGCTAGAATGTGGTTCCTCCAGAACAATGAGAATGACAAAAACACATCAGTCGCTCAGACAAGAAGTCCGAGACACTCGCAACTCAAACAGCTTTGTAAGCAGCTTGAAGGGGTTTAGTGGCTGTATCTTAATGAAAAGAAACAATGCAGTGTGGATGAACTTTATTATGCAGCTCTTAACCTGATATTACAGCCATTAAATGACTTTTCACAAAGAAAACCTCAGGAATTTCTAGAGTCAGTCTTCTCCATCTGGACTACAGCAGCAGGCACCAGAGCTAGTCAAACCCACTGAAGTCCACAATGAAAATGGTACAGTGATGTACAGAAAGAATAAAACTCCCTGTTGTTCTTAAAATTATTAAGGACATAGCTGAGTTATGAAAACATTGGATCAGAGATGCAGTAGTATTTGGCACAATACTAGGTTTTAGCAGGCCTCTCGATTTCTCTATATTGCCTCAGTACAGGGGGATGGACTAAAGTAATCCCAAGGCGCTTTTAGCTGAACTACAAGTACAGAGTCGGTTTAGAATTGGCTTCAGGTTTAATAAATACATACTTAAAACTGAGCAGGTTTTAATTAATATTTTGATTTCATTTCAGGCAGTAACTGAATAGTATGGCCTAATGAAATTTAGAGCATTTATTTCTATCACATCCAAAGCCAGTATTTGACATCTGAAACAGGCAGAGCTCTGCAGAGCTTATGTCACCCCGTCAGGGTAGTATAAAAGAGAATACAGAAGAAATACCAGACAGGGGAGTTCACTTGTTGCCAGTAATACATTGCCAGTAATACTGCTATTATAAAAGTCAATTCTACATAACTGTTAAAACCAGAAAGGGTGTCCCTAGTAACAAATAAAATGGGTAAAAACATACTCTAAGTATAAAGACTTAAGAGCTAGATTTGCAAGACTGCATTTCTCCAGTTTACACCATGCCATCGTGTATCAAAGGAATGTCAAAGAATCCCAGCTTCTTCATCAGGATCCTTTCTCCAACATCCACATCAAGATCCCAGAGCAAATAAGGGGCTCACCTAGCTTCCATGTTTCCAACCACACGCAGGTAGTTCTTGTGCCGCCGAATTCTTCGTTGAACCTCGTGAAACAGGTAGCGCAGCTGCATAAAAATCACCAGGCTCGCCATTGACAACCAGATATTGCCAAACAGCTTTGGAAAGAAAACAGAATGGTGATTAGAAACAAACACCACGGGAAGCAAGAGGCTACCACAAGAAACTGCATCAGGTCTTAAGAGAAAAAGAAATCAAGAAACCAGCACTGACAAATTTTTCTTTTGTTGAGACCATTCAGACTAACCACACATGTTCACAGGTATTACCACACGTTACATCTTCAGATACAACTCAAGCAGCACAGCAGAGAATAAGGATATCTGAATAAGGATAAACTGTATTCAGTCCTGTTCAGCTTAATGTCCCCTGCTGCCAAGGAAAATAATTCAGCCTGATAATACTCAATAACAAAGCTAATGAAACACCTATTAAATAGATAATTACACAGTAGTTAATACTCCATAACAAAGTTATTTGTGAGGACTCCAATTACACAGGAGGAAAGAATGCCAGAAACTCCCACACTACATTTTCCTCTTTATTTAAATAACATCTCTGCAATATTTGGTTCCTAAAATAACCAAAGAAAAAAAATATGTAAAATATGTATACCCAGTACCCTTTATTTTAAGGCCAGTCTATTTGCTTAACATTATGTCCAGTATTTCATACCAGCATATGAATATGATGCATCAAGTCCAGTGAAAGCAAGGTTAGCTCCATGACAAAATCTGTGTAGTAGACGTAAGTGCCTTTGCCCTCCCACGTTCCTTCATGGTTGAGATCCCAGAGATGAATTACGTATCTGCAAGAACAGGGAAACTAACATTATTCTATCTTTTTTGTTAAATAGCATCTCTAGCATTCAAACTATTTTATCCATTTTTCAAACAACTTCTGGATATGGATTCTTTGCCCTTCCTAAGCCCAGTGCCCACACTTGATGCTTTCCTAGGGGACCTTTTTTTTAATGTTACTGGTTTCAAACAGCAATGTTTTAAAAAGGCAAAAAGCAATCAATGGTTATCCCACACTGGCATTACAGATACCACCAGCTGACAGAGAAGATGTAGCATTTGCTAAAAACTCCCGAATGTAACAAAAGCCAGTCTTGGGATTATAGTAACTACAGACCCACAGTTTTCAGCACATGAGGTGTTTCTCAGGTGAGGCATTACAGCTTGGTGACAGACCTGAAATACCAACAGTGACCTAGACAAAGAGGTTCTGTGCTACATGTCATGTCCTACATATGCATACACATGCACATTACACATACACATGCATGCTACTTTTTCAAAGCAAAAGTTCTAGACATTAAGATCTTAAAAGAAACCCAGTAGGATGACATTAAGTAGCATGTATCAACCCTCATACAGCAGCACCAATCCATTTTAATCCATGCCTCAAGCTATTAGCACCCACTAAAGCTATCTGTGCATTGCAGAATTCATGCTTAAAAATAGTACAGGCTGAAGTTAACCACCTTTGCCCATCTCCAAACGTGCATTTGCAATTCAACAAGGTAATTACATACACCTCTTAAATCAACATGCTATATGCACTACCTTCTTGAACAACCATCCTGCAAAACATAAGGTACTCACCGTAAAATCACATGAGCAGTTCTGACTGTCACAAGCAGAGACTGCAAAAGAAGGGAGAGAAAAAAAAAAGAAGTATGTTAACAACATTCTGGCAGGGACAGCGGTACTGAGGCAGGAGCTAAAGGGCTACAACACAAAATGCATTTATTGCAGCTTAACAAGTTCCTGTGAACCAACAAGTCACTATAGATGACTGTGTGTACAATATACCTGTGACAAACATGAAGCTTATACATAAACACAGAAGAAATTGTTCTCAAACACACAATGCTCATGGAGCAGCCACTAGCATCACTGTTGTTATGTCTGACTTTTTCCCTCACTACATAGGACATGTTATCTTTTTCAATTCTTATCACTCAGTGAGTGTTAAGACCGCAATCCCACCAACTACCTTCAGGTGAAGGTAGCACACCTCTCCTCATCCCAATGCTCAAGAAAAATCTAAAGAACCAAACAGTAACAGCAATTTGAGGAAGAACCATGGAAGCACTTTCAAATAATTTTTCCCATTTGCTGAAGTGTGAACACAGCAAAAGTAACTTCTCTCTTTAATCATGCTTACCTCTCTAGGCTAAGTACAGAGAGAAAAACCTGAGTATATGAGAAAGCATAAGCAGATCAGAAGTGTAAAGAGAAGTCACCAGAAAGGTCTGTTTCCAGAATACCTAACCACATTTCCATGGGCTCTTATCATCTAAGAAACGTGGCCCCATCACCTCTCTCTAACCTGTCAGGCCCACAGTGCCCCGTCCCTTCGTTGTATCATAGATCATAGAATCGTTTAGGTTGGAAAAGACCTTTAAGATCATCCAGTCCAACCATTAACCTAACATTACCAAGTCCACCACTAAACCAATTAAGGGTAGAGTATCCTCCCAGTGAAAGAAAATGGTACAGGATGAACCCCCTTCGGAGACTGCCCACACTACCCTGTAGTTAGCAGAGGCCAGCTGACACCAAGATGCAGGGGATTTATAATGAGCAACTGAAACCATTTCTGTAAGACTGGTCTGATGGCATGCCTTCAGCATAAGTATTAAAAACCATACAGAAGAACGATCAAAACCACTAACTTCCCAATATAGCAATAAAACAGTTGGTTTGAATAATTTTTTCCATTTCTAAAAAGCATTCTTAAAATGCTTCGATGCATATTTAACCCTTAGTGATATCCAACATATCTGCCAATTGTTTACTAATTGGCTTTAAAATAAGTGTTCCTGTGACTATTTAAACACCAATGCAATCTTTTATCCAACTAAGGTCTTCAGGATAAGATGCACACATCATTCAAATAACACCAAAAAAAGTCAAGAAGGTAACAGCTAGTCATCTAGCATGGTGTTCTGTCCTCATCACAAACATCTTTCATAAAAAAGTTAAATTAGCACACTAGCTGCTCCAGCAAGGCGCATTATGAGACCTCTTCTGTCTCCTGTTACCCCACATTTGGGTACCAGAAAGAGACTACACGTTGTTCACACGAGGTTTTTGGCTATGGAGAAACTTTGGGCAGACCGCAGAGGAAAAGTAAATACATCGAAATTCTAACCATGCAAGTGGTGAAACAGAATGATTATCTGAGCTGCTGGATGGATATGCCATTGAACACAAATTTGTGTTAAAACCAGCACACGTGGCATAAATTCTCTGATAAGGAAGACATCTGTCGGGCAGAAACCTGAAGAGTCTCATCTTTGCGACTTTTAAGAAGTTAATGTTGTCAAGACACGATTTATACTGGTTAGTGCTGAGGCAGCAAGAGCATCAAAATTAAAAGGATGAGCTAGTGTAGATTTGGTCAAGGCTCTGGTCTCTGTTTCCTCCACTGTTTTCAGAAATGCGTTTCAATGTTCTGACATAAGAAATACTTCACAGAAAGTACAACATTGCATCACAAGTTACACAACTCCGTAATCTGAGGTTCTAAATGTACAGCAGGAGATTTTCAGTGCTGACACCTCAAGAGCTCTTGCTCTGCTCCACTACGCACACACTTACTCCCCAGGGACTCTGTGATACTGGCAGATACTAGTCACATAGACTAGCGCACAACTGGAAGGCACTCAAACCCTAAGATAATGGATGTGGCATAAGAAGCTATACAGGAAAATTTACCATTATCTCTATGGTACAATTCTAATATTTGAATATTACTATCATTATATGGCCTCAACTGAGATATATGAAACAGGATCAGAGGATGGCTGCTATAGGAATGGAGTAATTCCTTCTTACAACAAAAAAGGTGCAAAGATAGACTGGACATTACTTGCTAAACTGTAATTCTTAAATACCATACTTGAAGACAAAAAACCTTAATGTTTACTCAAAAATACAGACTGTCCTTATTCAACCCTCTCTGGGCATTTGCACTTTCACGTCCATCCTTTGCAGGAAAGAAAATGCTGACAAACAACACAGAACAAGAAGCAGCCTAACTAAAACCTGAGAAAAACATCCATATTGCTTTATTGAAAACCCTGAGGCATCAAGCTAAATCAATGGTTGCAGAGTCAGGAGAGAGATGAATAGCTTAATGTAACTTAATGTAATTAAATACACACTAATGGAATACACTTGGCAGGGTCCCTCTTGAACCGCATCACACAAGCCACCACCAGGAAAACATTTTAGTCTGCAAGATTTAATGCTTTTTGCTGAGAGCTTGAGGACTGCCACGAGGTGTCACTGCTGGTACCCATACAGAAAGAAACCTAAATGGTTTATTCCACTTACACAGATGCTGGGTATTAAAGTCATGGAAACTACTCATGGTCACCCGACCCATATAGGACATATTTAAAAGGTTCAGGAAAGGGCAAGATACTAGATAATCTCATATGAGAAAAGATCAAACAGACTAGAATTCTTTTGCTTGGAAGAAAAGTCAGAAGGGGAACAGGAGAAAGGTCTATAAAACAACAAATGGTGTGAAGAAGAGTAAATAGGGAATGATTCTTTGTGGTTTTTCACCATAAATGTATTAGATAATAGCCAGGGACATTATCAGACAGAAAATTCACAACAACTAAAAGAGTTCTTTTGTGTACACAAAGCCAAGTTAAATGTGAAGTTTGTTGCCTTTGGATACTGCAGAGGCCAAAGTATAAATGAGTTCAATAAACGATCAGCCAACTTTCCAGAGTCCATCTGAGGCTATCAAACTGAACAGGCTTGTGCAACCCTCAGCTCAGGAACATCCTCAAACACCAGCTGCTGCAAGCAAGGGTAGGAGACCCTTTCCTACACATTCCTGTCCTGGTTTTGGCTGGGATAGAGTTAATTTTCTTCCTAGGAGCTGGCATAGTGCTGTGTTTTGGATTTAGGATGAGAATAATGTTGATAACACACTCATGTTTTGGTTGTTGCTAAGTAGCGCTTACACTTAGCAATTTTCACCTTCTTTACGGTCTACCAACTGAGAAGGCTGGAGGTGCACAGGAAGCTGGGAGGGGGCACAGCCAGGACAGCTGACCCAAACTGGCCAAAGGGATATTCCATACCATAGGACGTCATGCTCAGTGTGTAAACTAGGGGAAAGCTGGCCGGGGGGCCGCTGCTCAGGGACTGGCTGGGCATTGGTTGGCAGGTGGTGAGCAACTGCATCGTGCATCACTTATTTTGTATATTCATTGGTGTTTATTATTATTATTTTCCCTTCCTTTCCTGTCCTATTAAACTGTCCTTATCTCAACCCACCAATCTTACTTCCCCGCTCCGCCCCAGATTCTCTCCCCCATCCCACTGATGGGGGGAGCGAGCAAGTGGCCGTGTGGTGTTTAGCTGCCTGCTGGGTTAAACCATGACAATCCTTTCGGCACCCAACATGGGGCTCGACAGGTTGAGATAATGACAGATCTGACCAGAGCACATTAGAACAAATTTGTTATAAACATTCATCATATTAGTTTGATAGTTGCTGGTCACAATGTTGATTAATTT